CCAACATGGCACAAGTATACATATGTAACAAACCTGCACGTTATGCACATGTACCCTAGAACTTAAAGTATAATAATAATAATAATAATAATTTAAAAAGAGAACTACAAAACACTGATGAAAAAAATTGAAGATAATACAAATGGAAAAACATGCCATGCTCATGGATCAAAAGAACTAGTACCCTTAAATAATCACATTGGCCAGGCACAGTGGCTCATGCCTATAATCCAAGCACTATGGGAAGTTGAGGCAAGAGGATCACTTGAGACGAGGAGTTTGAGACAAACTTGGGAAATATAGTGAGACTCCATCTCTACGAAAAATTTTAAAGATTAGCTGGATGTGGTGGCACACACTGGTAGTCCCAGCTACTCAGGAAGCTGAGGTGGGAGGATCACTTGAGCTCAGGAGTTTGAGGCTGCAGTGAGTTGTGATCATGCCACTTCACTCCAGTCTGAGCAACACAGTAAGACCCTGTCTCTAAATAAAATTAAATAAAATATAAAAGGACCATATTACCCAAAACATCCTACAGATTGAATGCAATCCCTATCAAAATACCATCACTCTTCACAGAATTTGAAAAAAAAATCCTAAAATTTATATAGAACCAAAAATGAGCCCAAATAGTCAAAGTCCTCAGCAAAAAGAGCAAAGCTGCAGGCATCAATCAAATTACCTGACTTAAAAATATATTACAAGGCTATAGTAACCAAAACAGCAGGGTAAAGACATAAAATAGACACATAGACTAATGGAACAGAATAGAGAACCTGGAAATAAAGCCACCATATTCACAGCCAACTGATCTTCAACAGAACTGACAAGAACTTACAGTGGGGAAAGGACACCTTCCTCAATAAACGGTGCCAGGAAAATAGGATAGCTACATTCCGAACAATAAAACTGAACCCCTATCTCTCACCATGTACAAAAGTTAACTCAAAATGGATTAAATACTTAACTGTAAGACCCAAAACTACAAAAATACTTGAGAAAACTCTCCTGGACATTGGTCTAGACAAAGAATTTATCATTGAAACATCAAAAGCATAGAAGACAAAAATAAAATAGACAAATAGGACTTAATTAAACAAAAAAAGCCCCTGCACAGTAAAAGAAATAATCAACAAAATGAAAAGGCAACCTGTTGAATGGGAGAAAGTATTTGCAAACTATTCATCCTACAAGGGACTGACAGATAAAATATACAAGGAACTCAGATAGCTCAACAAGAAAAAAATAGTCCCATTAAAAAGTGGGCAAAGGATATGGATAGACATTTCTCAAAAGAAGACATACAGCCAATCAGTATATGAAAAAAACGCTCAACATTAATCACCAAGAAAATGAAAATCAAAACCACAATGAGATATCATTTTACCCCAATCAGAATGGCTATTACTAAAAAGACAAAAAATAACAGATGTTGTGAGGATTCAGAGAAAAGAGAACTCTTGTTCACTGTGGGAATGTAAACTAGTATAGCCACTATGGATCACAGTATGGAGATTTCTCAAAATACTAAAAATAGAATTACCATTCAATCCAGCAATCCCACCACTAGGTATCTACCCAAAGGAAAAGAAATCAGTATGTCAAAGAGATACCTGCACTCACATGTTTACTACAGCATAATTCACAATAGCAAAGATACAGAATCAACCTAAATGCCTATCAATGGATGAATGGATAAAGAATATGTGATAATCCAAGCACTATGGGAAGTTGAGGCAAGAAGATCATTTGAGATGCCACAGTAGATGGCATTCTCCCCATTTTACATATAAAGAAACTGAAGTTTAGGGGAGGTGAAGTGACTTGTCCATGATCACCCAATTAGACTGTGGCCAGCCAGGAGAGAAAGCCAGATGTGTCTGCTCCAGGACCCCTGCTAACTCCTACTGTCCTGGAGCAGGACCACATTCACTCGGAAAGAGAGCTCACAGGCAGGATTCAGAGCAAGCAGAGTGTTGGGTTAAATCACAAGGCCCAGGACACTGAGGAGCTCTCAGGTGAGACCGCTGAGGTCAGGAAAGCAGCAGACACGAGGTGGCACCACTCAAGCCACAGGCACGACCCTGCTCAGAGCTGGAGGCCTAGCCAGGAACCCCGAGCCCCACTCCCAGCAGGCTGGCAGAATCTGTGCTTGCCCATCCACCCCATACATCATGACGCGTCCACCCTCGCTTCTGAGTGGTGCCCCCACTGTTCTCTGCAAGAAAGTTCAAGGGTCCAGACAAAACTCTACCGGACCAAAGCAGGCAGTTTCCCGCAGGCTCCACCCCCACCGCCTTCTGCCTGGATGCTTGCGCTGAGCCGCTATTTCTTTCACCTAGGAACTGGAGGCGGTTCCGGCTGCACCCACACTCTCCCGACAGGAGGTGTCCGCAGGAACCACAGGTTCCCAGCAGGGCCGTCCAACGCAGTCCTCGACCCTGGTTACCCTGGTTAGTGCCCAGTCCCAGGCCAATTGACCCCAGGAGAATTCCCCACCATGCAGCCACCGGGCAGCCACTATAAACCACCCACAGCGGGCCAGTTGTGCTAAGAAAAGTACTGAACGCTGCCCAGAAAGTTGAAGTTCCCTCCATAACACTGACACCAACAAGCAGGTCCCTGATCACAAGCATGAGCCGCCGGGTGTCATGAACTCCTCAACTGAGAAATGAAAACAAGTCCAATGATCTTGGAGTAAAACAATTTTTTGGAGGTGCTCACATAGAATACCTAAGCCCCACGTTCCAAGAATTGTACTTCAATCGCTCTAGGATGGGGCAAATAATCTGCATTTTCCATTAACCTACCAGAGGATAACAGTGCCACCAAGTGATGACAGAACACTGTCCAGCAAGAGAGACTTCATTTAAATGTAAAGACTATCCAAAGGAATGCTATGCAACCCTAAAAAAGAATAAATTTTGTAGAAAGGGAAGGGAGATAAATAACATGTATGAGATTTGCTTTTAAATGCCCAAGAATATTCTGGAATGATAAAATGTAATAATGGTTCCCGCCAAGGTGGGACATCACATGCTTAGCAAGGATGTCAGGAAATGCTTTGTTGTCCCCCGTAAGCACTTGAAAATATTACCTATTCCAAACTCAGAGCTGGGTATCTTCTCCTATTAACACTGGTGGTCTAGTGGTTAGGATTCGGTGGTGCGCCGCGGCCCAGGTTCGATTCTCGGTCAGGGAACCAAGAAATGTAGCGGGACGAGCCACAGACATAACTCCTCAGACACCGGATTAAAGAAGGAAGAGGTTTTTTGTTCGGCCGGAGCGAGCAGTTTTGTCTGCGGCTCGTCCTGCTACAGAGCTACACCTTCCCTTTTACTGCCTGGACATGCCACGCAGAGGTGCCTTTCAGCTGACACAGGTCAAAAACGCTGACATTGTGTAGGTGTATCACCTTAAATGGAGCTGGACAAGCCAGACCCCGTTCTGCTAGTTCCTGGCTCTTGGCCAAGTTGGTTAACCTTTCTGCATGACATTTTCATCATCTATAAATTGGGCTAAAACAGACCTCAGAGCTGTACTTCAGGTCAAATTAGATAAAGTTAACCATACTTCAGCTGACTGTAGCATAATAGAGTTGGCCTCTGGAAACACGGGTTTCGCATTCGCAGATTCAACCAACAGAAGACCGAAAATATTCGGGAAAAAATGGAAAATAACACAATAAAAAAACAATATATATAAGGCCGGGCACGGTGACTCACGCCTGTAGTCCCAGCACTTTGGGAAGCCAAGGCGGGTGGATAGCTTGAGCCCAGGAGTTCGAGTCCAGCCTGGGCAATATGGCGAAACCCTGTCTCTACAAAAAAATACAAAACTTAGCCAAGTGTGGTGGAACGTGCCTGTAATCCCAGCTACTCAGGAAGCTGAGGTGGGAGGACCACCTGAGCCCAGAAGATGGTGGTTGTAGTGAGCAGAGATTGCATCACAGCACTCCAGCCTGGGCGACAGAATGAAACTCCATCTCAGAAACGAACTATATAATAAATATATATATCTGTGTAGCAACCAGGGGTATAGTATTTACATTGTATTACGTACTATAAGTATTCTAGAGATGCTTTAAAATAAGTGGAAGGATGTAAGTGATACGCAAATGTACACCATTTTATATGAGACTTGAGCATCTGTAGATTTTGGTATCCATGCGGGAGTCTGGGAACCAATCCTCCAGGGATATCAAGGGAAGACTTTAATTACTATAGTACCAATTATTGTAATAAACAGATAATGCAGGGGCTGCCATCGTCACGCAGGATCCCAGCTTCACTCTCCCTTCCAAGACCCCTAAAAAGATATTACATCGATGTACACGCTAGGAGAACCGAAAAACGCACGCCACTATTCGTCTACAGTAACGCACAGGGCACTTCCGGGACGGGGCCTGGGAGGATGGATTTAGGACTCGGTATGCTGGTTTGGCCCTCCACCAGTGTTACGTGAACCTGAATCGGTCTGCAGCTCCGCGTCTGAGGTCAACGCAAAGGACAAGAACTTGATACTGGAAGCCAGGCCCTAGAGCGGTACAGATGCTCGGCCCCCCAGCGGCCCGTAGGAGTATTTCCCCAGCGTGACCGACCAACCACAGCCACCGCTATTGGGCAGCAGCGGTACCTCCGCCTCTAGGGCGGGTCCTCCAGGGGGCGGAGGATTGCATGACATTTTGCGACTTCGGTTCAGCTGCCGTCATTTACAACATAATTGGCTTTGCAGTGTGCATCCGGGTCTGCGTCAGGAAGGCCCAAGATTCCAGCGCTCGAGGCTGAGCTCCACAGCGTGCGAGGCTCCACCAGTAGCACGGACTCCGATCTCCGGGAGGCGCCCCCAGGGCTCCGAGGACTCGCCCCACGTCGCGCGGTCCTGAGCCTCGTCCGCCCCAACCCGCCTCGCCTACCACTGACACCTGCTACCTCAAAGAGGACTTCGCCGCCCGCGCCCCCTGCCCCCACGTCCTCTGCCAGGCCCAGGAGCGCCGTCCGCAGCGCCGTCGAGGTGATGGGCAGCCGGCCCCGCAGTCCCAGCGCCTGCCTTGCGCCCTGGTGGGGACAGCAGCCAGGAGGACCAGGCCCTGCCAAGCGCAGCCGATTGGAGGAGCCCGCGGGCCCCGAACCCCGCGCGGCGCCCAGCCCGGAAGACCCGGCGGGGATCCCAGCCGTGGACGCGCTCACCTCCGTGGTGGTCCTGGCCGCGGGCTGTGCCCTGCGTGTGCCCCTGGAGAACGTCGACCTGGTGCTGGAGCTCGCGCCTATGTCGGTCCTGCGAGTGTCTCTTGGTGGACACACCCTCATCCTGATCCCGGAGGTCCTCCTAAGCTCCGTCGACGAACGCTCAGGAGCGCAGGGCGACTCGTCTGCCGGCCTGGAAGTGGACCTTTTCCTGGGCGCTCACGGGGAAGACGTCGTCGTCCAGCAGGAAGTCTTCTGCGCATCTGTCCCAGAGATTGCTGCTGAGGAAGAGGCCTACGAGGAGGACGCGGACTCTGAATTCCCGGAGCTCTGCATGGACTCCGCATCCGGCTCAGCCGCTGGGCTCTACCCCTCCGCTAGAAGTATGTTCAGCCCCTACCGGGAGGGCCCCATCCCAGGGCCCTGTGCTCCGGCCTCCAACCCCAGTTCAGAGAGACGCTCTCCAAGCCCCATCTTCGACCCGGAATTCCACCTTCTGGAGCCTGTCCCCAGCTCACCTCTCCAACCTCTACCTCCCTCTCCAAGTCCAGGTCCCCACGCGCGCCCGGAGCTCCCAGAGCGCCCTCCGTGCAAGGCCCGGAGACGCCTGTTCCAGGAATGAGCTGCCTCCCACAATCCCTTGCCACGCTACTGGGCTCCAGGCGACTGTCTCCTGATAGCCGTTGTGTGGATGTTGTGCAACCTACAAGGATCTCTGAGTGGGGATGACGGATAGATGCTTTTTTGATACAGGCTGCGTTGCAGAATTTTGCATCACTGGCTGACTTAGAAAGTCTGGAAAAAAAGATCCTCCTTGGCATAAAACTATGCTAGTTGAAATACAGTCTACTTTCAGACTGTGAGATTGCTGCATCGGGCCTGTTTTGTATGGAAGTCACCCCTAGGCAGCTCCATTCCCCTTGGTTTTGCTTTAAACCTCAGTTCCAGCAATTTTCTCTAAAAATCCGCCCTTTCCCCAGCACCTTACCGTGGCACGCCTTTTCTCCCGAGTTAATTACTAAAAATAATTACATTTATTTTGTTTAACGGGTTTTGGCCCTAGTCTCTGCGCTAGTTTATGACCACCTTCTCACCATGGAATTTTTCTCTATGGTGGCCTGAACCCTTTGGGGGGAGCTTGCAAATAGTTGTACCTGGACAAATGTTTGTTGTTTGCAAAACAGACAGAACTGGAAATAATGATCGTGTACCCTCCTTTTTTTCATGATTGGCTTAGCAAATTGTTTATGTTATTGGGCTTTATTTTCCCCCCAACTATTAGAGCCAGCTCTTTTTCATTCATTACTTCTTGTATGTTTTTAATATAATTATTTTATCCTGGAAAAGCTTATAATTCTAAGACTCTGTGTGTGTATGTGTGTGTTGTTTGTTTGTTTTTTGACATGAGTGTTGTTGCCCAGGCTGGAGTGCAATGGCACAAACTCAGCTCACTGCAACCTTCGCCTCCCAGGTTCAAGTGATTCTCCCGCCTCAGCCTCCCAGGTAGCTGGGATCACAGGCATGCGCCACCACACCCTACTAATTTTGTATTTTTAGTAGAGACGGGTTTCACCATGTTGGCCAGGCTGGTCTCGAACTCCTGACTTCAGGTGATCCATCCACCTCAGCCTCCCAAAATGCTAGGATTACAGGCATGAGCCACTGCGCCCAGCCAGAAATAATATGTTTCTTAGGTTGATCTTGTATCAAACGCAATTACTGAATTTCTTTAATGGCGTATGTGTAGATTCTCGATTGATTGATAAAAATATCTCCAAATAATGAGAATATTGTCTCTTGACAAACTTCTTACATCTTATTTTTCCTTAATCTTTTATATTGGATATTACTTCAAGTCCAGGTTGAACAGTATGGTTAATATGGGCATTCCTGTTTTATGCCTTGTGTTAATGCTTCTAAATTTTACCATAAAGTATAATCTTTACATGGTTGTTAGATAACCCATAATCTATTGAAGCAGTTAATTTTCAGTTTTTCAGATCATGAAAAAGTGTTGAATTTTTGCTTTGTTTTTGCCTAAGTTACTACAAAGATGTTATCAACTTGTTTTAAATGTTGACATTTAATTATTTGTGTGTATACAATAATACGATACAATAGCTAGATGGAACCTTGGGCCACGAGAGTATGTACAGAAACCTGGCAAGAGTGCTATGAGACCAGGCTTTGGGGCTGGTCCAGTTTAAAACAATTGGATGCTTTATGAGGACCTGAGGAGACACAAGTGGAAGGAGAAAGGCAGTAACTGCAGGGTCCATTTAAGGTTTTAAATGTTAAAAATTTAAGAAACTTTTTTTTCTGTATGAGTAAGATGACTTTTTGTAATTTCTTTTTGAATCAACTCATGGTGATTTGTGTTAATTTCTAACTACTAAGTATCCTTGCATTTCTGCTATTCTACAGTATTTTATATGATTCTAACTCCACCTTGGGTTGTTTTTTGTTTTGTTTTTTGCCTTTTTTTGAATGTTTAGTTTGTTTGTTTTACATAACCATATACAGCACTAATTTTTTTATTGTACTTTAAGTTTTGGGGTACATGTGCAGAATGTGCAGTTTTGTTCCATAGGTATACATGTACATGGTGGTTTGCTGCACTCATCAACCCGTCACCTACGCTAGGTATTTCTCCTAATGTTACCTCTCCCCATCTCCCCACCCCGTGACAGGCCCCGGTGTGTGATGTTCCCCTCCCTGTGTCCATGTGTTCTCATTGTTCAGCTCCCACTTATGAGTGATAGTATGCGGTGTTTGGTTTTCTGTTCGTGTGATAGTTTATAACACACTAATTTTAAAATGTCATTATTTTGCCAATTTTGCCTCATTTTTGTAATGAAATAAATTATTGCTGATAAAATTAAACCCTATGAGATGCTAGTTTTTTTTTTTTCTGTTGAACATCAACAATTATTATTTAGATTTTCCAACATGCTTTACCAGTTAATTTGCTCACTTTCTGTTCTTGCATTCCACTCCTTCAGTCTGGCCTCATTTGTCTTCTTTCCATGGTATACTTTTTAAGAATTCTTTCAGCTATGCTTTATGTGGTAAATCTTGGGTTCGTATGTCTGCAAATATTTCAATTACACCTTCAAACTTGTAGTATGGTAGCTGGGTTTGGAATTCTAAAATAAATCCTATACTCTCTCACTACTTTAAAGATAATTCTGTTATTTTCCATGACATTTATTGTTGCAGGTGAGAAGATGTCATTTGTATTGCCATTCCTTTAACAGGATTAGGCTGCTTACACTAGTATTTTTCTTGACTTTGATGCCCTATGGTTTCACAAAACCTGATGTGTTTTTTGGTAGATTTTTGGCAGCTGCAACTCAGTGAGCTTTCTATAGATGGAAAATTAATTCTTCCATAAGATCTCAAAATATATATATCTCCTGCACGTTTAAACCTCTCTCCAATCTCTGAAACTCCTAACAGAAATGGTGCTGCTTAATCAATGCCCTCTCCCAGATCTCTTAATATCTATATTTTCATACCCTGTATCATAGCACACTTTTGCTCTTCCAATTAACTGATTCTGTCACTGTCTGTTTTCAAAATTCATTTATTGTTCTTTATAAGACTTTATTTCAAATACTGCATTTTTCATTTTCAAGACTTCTGATTACTTGGTTTTTTATATCTATTTGCTCTTATTTCACAACTTTTAGTCAATGTCATATAAACGTTTCTAGTTTCACAGATGTTATCTCCTTTATCTCTAGAAGAATTAAATATTCTTATTTTAAATTCTATATTAATTAGCTCAATAATTATAATTCCTCAGGCATAACATCTCCAATTATTTGGTAGCATTTAATGACACTGATTTTCCCCTGGGCAAAAATTTTGGTATGTGGACATATTTTGAATGTGAATTCATTTTCTGTTCCAAATTTGTTTTGTTTTGTAAAGACAGGGTCTCACTCTGTCTCTCAGGCTGGAGTGCAGTGGCATGATCACAGTTCACTGTAGTCTTGACCTCTCATGCTCAAGCAATCCTCCCATCTCAGCCTCCCCAGTAGCTGGGGCTACAGGCATGTGCCACCATGCCTGGCTAGGGTTTTATATTTTTATTTTTTGTAGAGAGAATCGTCCCTGTTGCCCAGGCTGATCTCAAACTCCTGGGCTCAAGCAATCCTCCTACCTTGGCCTCCCAAAGTAGTGGGATTACAGGCATGTCTGCTCCATATTTGAATTTTACATTTGCCTCTTTCTTGCTCCCTAAGGGTCAAGACTCAGAGCCAGAAGTTATGGAGCTCATCTCATATGATTTGCAACCCAAAAATCACAGTTCCCATCCTCAAGCAATCATACATGGCCCAACTTCCAATTTCAATGCAGTAGTGACACTGGGCTGGACTGTTCATAGTCCCAACCCCATCAAGACCGCTGGGAGTATTAGCAGCTAAATTCAGTTGCTCTCCAACTATCCTCAGCCTCCATGGGTAATTCATGCCAATAACTGTTCAAGTAGAGGGTATACAGGCCCAGCTCACTTGCTTTGAGACAACTCTGAAGAATCATCCCAATTCTAGGGCTCTCAGTGAGTTGGCTGAGGCTTTGTTGCAGCTGCATCCCAGTTCAACTCCTCTATCTGTCCTGTCATATTTTCTTTGTTCCCCAAAATTTCTGCATGCAAATCTCCATGGCAAAGTCTTCCCAAGCCAACTTAAGATAGCTGGTGCCAGGGGTCGTCATAGGAAGTAGCCACTAACCTGGATTTCAGAGCTGAACCATGGAGCATGAATAACCCATGGCGTGTTACAGGAAAGCAGATAAGATCTTAATCAATGGCAAACTAACTGGGACTCTGGAAGAAGGCAATATACTGGCATTGGCAGAATCCCAGGCATTAGAAAAATTGGGGGCACAGAGTAATTATATGCATGATAGTTATAAATAATGGGGAATTGAATAGCTTTTTTTGGGACAATAAATGCATTTGAGAAAGAAAGTGAAAGTCAGACGGTGACTAATTACCAATAAAACCCAAATATGAAATATAGACGTTCTCCCTGGCAGCATACAAATAGCCTTTCATCTCCTGTAGCTAATAGGGGGGAAAGCAACTGAGGATCTGGCCCAGAATTTCCCGCAAGGATAGTGGCGGTATAAAGGCTGAATTCTCAAACTTGGAAAGTCTGTAATGGTGAGGTCCCAGCCCAGATTGGGCCCTGAAACGTTGGATGAAAATAACCAAGTAGATTCACTTGAATATCTTGAATCCCAAACTCCCTTCCATCCTCTTGGCCTGCAGAAGTGGCCTACTCCTCTCTATTAAAGGTTGGCACTCCACCCTTGCATAAGATGATGCAGAAGCCTCTGCCTAGCAAGATAACATGCACCCACCTCAGGAACTACCTTCACCTCCTCTCTTTGCCTCAGGCCAGTAACTAAAGCATGTTATAACCCAGCCAGGAAAATACTGGCCTGTAACTAAGGAAAGGGGCTCTGTATGCCCTAGAATTGCTGTGAGTGTTACCCAACATATACCAGCATGAGTCAAGTATAAGACTGAGAGTGCTAGATGTCAGCCTAGAGAAGGGAGAGTGTATCAATTTAGAAGCAGTCTCCCAATATACATGATTTAACACCCTG